CGAAGTACATTCATTTTTATCGAAATAATTCGGAAGACCTTGCATCTTGAGAATAAAAAATAATTCTGAAGAAAATAGGATGAAAATTGCGCGCCGAAATTTTTTTCAATTACTTCATTCTAGTTAATTCCATAATTTGTTAACCACTTCGCTGGAGACATAACAGTTATGCTAGCGTAATTAATTATTTCAATGAAATGTATTTTTAAAGCACTATGAAATGCAAAATTTGATAAATTTCAATGTGGTTCACTTTCTCGACATAAATTTTTTACGTCAAATTATCATTTTAATTATCGAAATCAATTACACAATATAGTAGAATTTTTACCAAATATTTAGTTACAATAAATTCTACAATTTTCTCAATTTCTTTTTCTCAAAAATATTCCCGTACTTTTCCACATCAATCGTTACAACACGTAATCGCCAGCAGATTGTCGAATTATCAAGTATCTAGCGGCAAGTGCACGATATTCAGTAAAGAGGAAAGATATCGTTGTGGTTTTCACGATTTTTATTGGCCGTTCAATTGGTACTTGTTATCAGTGCCTTTCGAAATATTGGCCTGCTCATTTGTGGAAGTGGCTACACGTGAATTGCTTATCATTCCTGCGCGCCACAGCCTCGTAAAATCGAGGTTTCGTTGTCTCGTCTCGTCTCTCTTCGTGCGAGCAGGGAAACGTCGGTATTTATAGTGAGCGGTGAATTCGCACTGGCGAAACAAACGCGGGCAGCGAAACACAGAGAAAGTGTTGCAGTGGATCGAGAGAGCCATTTTCCTCGAATGTCATCGGTAATTGCCAATTGTTCGCGTTTCACCGTGTGTTTCACCATTTTTATCAGTGATTCAAAAGTGTGCTTTTTTTAAAATTCTAAGATACCTTGACGACCAAGGGATATAAAGAATTTTACGAATTTTAGAACTCTAATGTCCACGATATAGGATTTTCTTTTTTAAATGGAAAGGTGCATGAAATTTTAAAAATTACGAATATGTAGATTTAAAAAATTTTTATGAATATTAGAATCGTAATTTCTGTGATATTTTCCATTTAAATAGATAAGTGAACGAAATTTTAACATTTTTAAAGTTTATGAATAATACATGCGAGGAAACAATAACGTGTAAAAGCCGTAATTATGGTAATTATTTCCTCCGTTAAAATTTTAAATTTGCAAAAGTAGAGCGAAATCTGAAAAGATAATTATTTTCCAACTATGAAGTATTCAGCGATCAATTCCATTTTCACAGTAACAGACGTCCATTAATTGAATAAACACCCAAGAGAGATCAATAAGACCAACCATTAAACGTTACCTTCGAATTCGCAGGAAAACCTCGAATTCCGCTCCTTGGCCGCGTTTCTTTCCGGCAAAATGTGGCACAACGTGCAATTTACGTTCTTCCCGATTCACAAGAGGCTAGGAATCATAAATCTAACTCTTAACCACAGACATCTGTTTTTAACCCTTTCGTCACCAGTGGGACAAAAATTGATCACAATTCGACATCCATTACAGGCTCGATCATTGGTAGATAAGTAAAAACTTCCTAAAAGCAAGAATTCGGTCGTGAAAGGGTTAAATCGTTACCGCAGACTCCTTCGAAATTTCATTCAACAATATACAGTTACGATAATTTGTTGAGATTGCTTACAATACTCTGAAATTCCAAGATTTTCCAAGTATTTCACAAAAACGATATACAGTAAATTCTCTACAAGTGTCAGTCAGTTTGGATTCTACAAGTGTCAGTATAGAAGGCCGACTCTATGTAATGTAATACAGGGCGTCTGTTTTATCTCAATACAGTGAATATCTGGCGTGACAGTGAACGTGTTAATAAGTAAATATTGTTCACATTATGTCGTGTTTGATGTCATTTTCATCAGAAAAATCTCATCAATATGTTAAGAAAAATTTCGGGATAAAAAAACGTAAAATTAAAAAAGTTGGTATTTAAATCGCTTGGTTGCCTCGACTCACGTTTCATCCTTATCTTTTATTCGCTGTCCTTGTCTACGTTCGGCAAACTACAAAGGCGGGCGCGAGGCTCGAAAACGTAGTCCCTGACTCTACAAGTGTCAGGTTTAGGCTCCTTGCGGACTGACACTTGTGGAGAATTTACTGTATTTATAAATATCGTATAAGAAATCAGGAACTTTTGTTTACATGGAAACGGAAAAATTAGGAACTTTTTCTTATGAAAGTGGAAAAATCGGGAATTTTTGTAGCGTACACCTACTGTCAGTTGAGAAAAAAAGGAAACACTCTTGAAAAATTCTTTACTACGTTACGATAGTGACATAAAAATTCAGAGTTTGTAGTTAAAGGCTTGATCTGTCGTAACAGAAAGGATCGACGAGAATTCGCGCCGAAAGAAAGACCGATCGGCTCGATCGTAAACGCGTTTTACAGGCAAACTGTCTGTCCATGGTAGCTTGGATATAATAGAGGAAGCGTTCTCCGTTCTACCTTTAAAAACAGCGTGTAACCATTTTCGCGAGCAGAAGAGAGCCGTTTGTCTTTCGAGGCAACGTGTTTTCAACGTATTGCTCGTCGTAAAACGTATACATACACGCCTCTAGGTGGAAAAAAGAATTTATTCCTCGCGTAATTGCACCGCCTCGGACGTCTCTGCCTGTGTTATTACCGGCTCCGCGAAATAGACAGAGAAACATTGAAAACTGCAGAGAGATCTTTTTGCTGGAAATGAAAATACTCTCCGTGTTCTCCTTTTCTTGCTTCAGTCGCAGAAAACTGAGAGAAATCGCAGTTTTTACTGTCCCCTTTTTTCTTCCCTTTCTTTTTATTTTCTTTGAAGTCGCGAGGAATTTTCATTTTTACCGTACCCTTCGTTCTCATTACGGATAATTCGTATTTTTATGGTATTCCTCTTGTTAACCCTTTGCACTCCACCGGCGACATTCGTAGTGAAGCAGATTAGCGAGAGAAACGAAGATAAAAATGAATTCAGGAATATTCGTAATATCTTCTTTTTTTAAATAGAAATTTGGGATTTTAAAAGTTCCACTGCAAAAGTATGCTGGAATTTTTGGATCGATTGTACGAAAGATTTAAATAAATTCACCAATATTTGTAATTTGTTTCTGTGCGAAACAACATTTTTGGATTTCAAAAGTTTTTCAGTGCAAAAGTGTGCTGAAATTTCTGATCGATTGTGTAAAAAATTTCTCAGAATGTAAAGGATTAATTACGTTAAACATTTCTCGAATATACCTTCTCTTTCTAAATACGAAAATATTTCAATTTTCATGATCTTCTCTTTAAGTATTTTTTTTTTTTTTTTCTATTTAATACAGCACTTGATATTTTAGAGACACACAAATGGTTTTTTTTTTTTTTTTACTCAGATAATCTTGCATAAAGTTTTTGGGAATTCCTATTTATTCGTAGAACGCAAGAGTTGGACAAATTTTATTTTTCCTTAAATGGAGAGTCGATGATTACGAAAGTTTCTAGAATATTTTGTCTCATGGGAGAAGTGATAACTACGAAACTCTAAGCTGCCGCTGACGTTCTAAAGCCCCTATCGTCTTCGTGCTCCAAGTTCCTTCTTATCAGTTACTTTATCAATTATTTTTCCCAGCGATAATTCCGTATCAACAGCGTTTTTCCTTCTTTTGCACATTTGCTTCAGCTGTGAATTCGCGTACCCTTCAAAATCCGATATCTATAAAGTTTGAATAAAATATTTGCGTGTGCATTTTTCTTGCCTCGTTGTTACGTATTGTGAAACAGCCATTTGATAAGATATCGAAAACGAAGATGATGTATGCTCAAGGGGTGATCTTAACCTTTCAAGTACTTCGATAAGAATTAACCGTAACACCTCTGATTAGAACGAACAAGAAAATATCGGAAATGTATACTTGAAATTTTTGATTAAATTAAGTCGTAGGATTAATGTTTCAGTAATTTTAGAAATTTCTTTTGGTCGTTCATTTGCTACTGATATTAAAGCAGTCTAACCTTGAATAGTTATCGTGCTACTTTCAATTATCTTAATTAAATAATTAAGAAAATTGAAATATAATCTCGCAAGAACTTCTCTGATTAGATATGAGGCCATGTGACAATTTCTTTCGACAATATTTTGTTGAGTTTCAACTAATATTTCGCAGTAACGTGAATATATTAATTCTGTCATTATTTAAATTCTTCTTTCAATGTTGGAATGAATGTTGGAATGAAAATTGTTTTTTTAAATTTAAATAGATATTGTTCTTGGATTTTCAAAGAATGACTTATCAAGAATTTTGTGAACTTTTAGTTGACAAGAGAAAATGATCAGAAATTTACAAAGTACCTAAAGATCGTGTGAAATTTGGGTGCACTTCGATCAATCAGTCGTCCCAAATTATCGCATTAATTTCCTGTTTCATATTTCCAACAATTCTATCAACTTTACGTTAACGCGAAGAAATTCAGAACTTTTCAGCGATCAGTTCGCGAATAATGAGAAATCTATGAAATATTTAAAAAAGCTATCAAATTTTGTTGGTGCGATCGATGGTTTAAAATTATTTTACTCGATCGATCAATTAATTTCTCCTATTTCACATTTCCAAGAATTTTGTAAACTTGAAATTAACACGAAAACACTCCCATGAATTTGCGAATGGTTAAAAATCCAACATTTTATATTACACCATTTTCAAATATCGTATCAAATTTAGATGCATTTCGAACGATCAATATTGCAATATTGCACCCGATCGATCAATTAATTTCTCCTATTTCACATTTCCAAGAATTCAACGAACTTCGGAAACTCAGAACTTTTCAACGATCATTTAGTGAATAATTAAAAATCCAACATTTCATACTACACGACTTAATACCATTTTCAACCATCAAATTTGAAACGTACGAAATTCAGGTGTACGTATTTCGAGCAATTTCACTCGTTTAAAATTACCGCCATTGGATCGATCAATCAATCAATTAATTTCTCCTATTTGATGTTTCAACAGCCACGTCAGCGGTAATTCTGAAGACAGAACACGACCACCATCGGTTGTCCAGCCTTTCTGGGGACAACGTCCTTGGCTCGGGGGTTAGAATCGGTCGGGGTGAGGACGCAGTCGCGGTTGGCAACGGGAACGTTATGGATTCGGCGCAATCAGCCATGATGAAGCAAACAGACTACGTCGTAGGTCAGTGAACCAACCTCCAGCAAATTTCTTTTATCTCGCCTTAAATTCGTCAATCGAAATCGAAACGTTTCTGTACTCGTGAAATTATTTCTGAAATCACTGATAAAGAGAACAAAAATTCATCGAAATTTCTCTTTGTGCTTCGAAAATTCGTCGAACAAGAGTCATCTTTGCGTAGGCAAGAGCTCTATTCGAAGTTGATATATTGAATTTTCTGTGTAATCAAAGTGTACTGTGTAACGTGTATGATGATTTGTTTTATCAATGTGTGCCATTATCGTTTCTCATTATACGAACGAACGAACTGGGATTCGATATATTTCTGCGAAAGTGACATAGAAAAGAGTAACACGATGAAACACAGAGGTCAATTTTGTATCGACGATAAGATATCATGTGTAATTTTTCGTCAGTGAACCGTTCGAGGAAAATTCTTTCAACTTCATTGTTACATAATCGGAGAACTAACGTACGAAATTACTGTCCGGATCGATGAACAGAGGGTTATGTAATACCCGTGGCTCGTCAACGAAGCACGCGATTCTAATCGTATCTCTTTTGCGTCTTTTTTTTTTATCGTTGTTAAGTAACGTGAATATTTTTTATCGGTTAATTTTATGAATTATTTCATTGAAATTTAATTAATTGAAAATTGTGTTTGTACAGTCGGTAAAGTTGATTTATGACTATATCATCGAGTAACATATTTGTGACCATTATTCATTCTCAAGTGTTTCCATCGAGACGGAACTTTCTAATTAATACGAAAAACTTCTAATTAATTTAACATTCTGCTTATATAATCAGTAAAATGAATATTCTAGCCGTGTGACTTAATTACCAATTACGTATTTAACCGAAACATAATTAATTCAAAATTCTGTTCGTATAATCGGTAAATTAGCTTTCTTATATATTAACATTGCGTTTAATACAGTCGGTAAATTAATTCTCAAAAAAATCTGACTCGATAGTTACACTTAATTCTGTCTATACCCTAGAAATCTTAGATTCTACATTTATTCAGATGATCTGTTTTATCTACCGATTGAACAATCGTCAATTCTCAAGTGTTTCCATCATAACGGATGTCTGTAATTAATAGTAACACAATTTTACTTAATTTCATTTAAGATTCGATAAACGTTAATCGCCTTCTCTAAGCTTCTAATTTCATTATCAAGAAACTTGACACGGTTCGCGCGAAATATAAATTCACGTGGATATTGCAGGTCCATTCCGTGCCTTGCTTTCTCCAAACGAAACGTCCCGCGCTGTTTCGCGATAACGAGCACGTATTAGAACGATTGCGAAATCTTCCCAGTTTCTTATCGACTATTTACATTTGCCGCATTTGCATCGCTCGTTCCCCGGTCAGTTTTATTTTAAAATCGTCAACGATATCGCGTGGAATTTATACGAAGCGGCCTTATCACAACAACCGGACGAATCGTGGAAATTCTGCGAGGGGTAAAAATTCCTAATAACTCTTTTCGTTCGTACATTTTACGCAACGAAGGAAAAGGAGCTATTTGCCAATTGAAGAGAAAAAGAAAAATAGTACGACGATGAAGATATTCGAGAAATCGATTCTGTTTGCAATTACAATCGACACTTTCCTTTATCGTTGATTACAGTTTATCGATTTTGCATTGAATGGCGGCCTAGAATGCCGCGACTGAAGCACACGAGAACCGGCACAGAGGAAAATTTGATTAGCGTTCGTTGAAATTGTTATCTAATCGGGATCAATAAAGACGGAGTCGAACTTCGAGTGTCATTAAACGCAATTAACAAATCATTCTGTCTTTTCGCTTCTCGTATCTCCTTTCATTGATCGTGTCTTCTTCTTTTCGCCACTACTGTTGGCGAAAACATGTTTACAACGTTCGTTTGATTAAAACTTAATGGTAGAATCTGTTAGTTTTCGAAAAGCTGTTCAAGGTACGAGAAATGTATTTTTACAACTGTTGTTCTAATTGCAATTGTTTGTTGAATTGTATTTTTAACGTTGCAATTATGCAACGTGTTGCAGGAGGAATTGTAAATAAAGTGTCGTTTCTATTCATCATTCTTGACGTACCGCGATTAGTATTCGTGTAGTGAGGTAGTCAGAGCTATAAATTCTTAGACACTAGAGTTCGAGAATTTAATTTGCATTTGAAAGACCATTGAAACTCGGTCCAAAATTGGACTGCAGTACCGACTGAAAAAGAATTGCTGTTGTACTTGGAATAGCTGAGTAAGAGAAGTTTCACTTTCTAAAAACGAAAAAAAAAAAAGATTTGCAATTAGTGCTGTTTCTTTGTAATTATCTTTCTCGAGATAATTAACTTCGATGCAAGTAAAGTAACCAACTGAAATCGGAAGATTTCACTTTCTCACAATAATTTTAATTATTACTAATATAATTATCGTTAATTTAAAGATACCAAAATCCAATTAACTCGAAAATTATCATATTGTCGAGAATAAAAGTTAAATTCGGAATTGTGAAAGTTCCAAATTGTCCCTAATTTTGTTTTTCTCAGGAAAAAGATTTTAATCCGTTAAAGCTACTCCGTTTTAAGCTACTCCGTTAGCACTAGATTTAGGGACATTTCTTATAGTATCTCTAGGGACAATTGACTCAAATTGACGCGTGAACGAAACCGCACATTTTCTTTAAACAGCAACTTATTTTATTTAAAAACAACATATACGCTATTAACTTATAAATGAAACTACGTGATGTTATATATTTGTATAAAATTTATAATAAGCCTAAGTGGTAGGAGAGAAATGTGAACAGTTTCTGTAATTTTCCTAGTGAAATTCGAAATGCGTCAAAATGACCCGTAAACCTAGTGTTACGGGAGTATGTATATTCTAGTCTAGATCTTTCAAAAAATCGATTTCTTTTCTTTGTGCATATTTCGGAGGTATACGAACCGTTCAAAAATGTACTGTTAAATTTGTGCAACAAAATTCCAAGTATTTCGGCTTTTTGTAGCCATTTTTAGTGAACCTAACCTTTACCACTTTGACAATATTTAGCTCATCTCTAAATATTAGAGATGAACATCTACAAAAAATAAGAGTTAAATTGAGAACTTCAAAAGTTCCGAATTATCTCTAATTCTTCTCAAAATCAGTTTTAATCCAACTAAACTGC